ATCCTTTACCTATTAGTATTATAAAATCAAGGTACCTTAAGCAGTGGATGCTTAGTGGAAATATCAACAAAAATTAATTGAGAAAGCATGAAATCGAGCATGTGGGAGGGAGGATTAACAAAAGTCCAATAGAAAATCCACTGGATACAAAGACTAACGAAAACATTAAACCGAAAGGTCCTTTTTTGTTACCTGTGTTCAAGGTTTATAAGAAGAAGATTTATAAGAAGAAGATTTATAAGAAGTTTGCCGGGTGGAGAAATTTTGAGTCATGCCCTAAGGGTTAAGAAGTGCTTGCTGTATATCAATGCAAGTCGCGTCGCAAATTGTAAGGCTTGAATTCGCTGTTAACGATTTCTGATCGTATTCAAGGTGACCTATAGAGTACCATATATCGTGGATAGTAAATGCTTGTTTTTGACTAAATTAATACCTTGCCCCCTTACACCCTCTCTAATGGAATACTTGTTATAACATATTGAATGCGTCTCCGTGAAAACTGTTGTACTTGTACTATTGATTTGACTATTACTAGTTATAAGCGAATTTATATATGGATTTAACAAAATTTTACATTAATACATACATACATATAAAGATTTGATCATCTTTACAAAGTGAATAACATACAAATCTTATAAGTAGGGTTGATCAGTGCATTTAATACCTCTCTACCGATATGTAACTTATATATGCTATTCAGTTGAAGACATATTTAATAGACAGAACCATTCTTGCCACTGTTGTATAGTCGGTAAATATAATTCATAAAATAATTTTGTAAACTCATCTCTAAGAAAATCAATGTAAAATAAACACACAATAATGATTTTTAATTATTTCCACAAAATGCTTCATTTATTTAAAACATGTATTACGCACACACTTATGTATAAAAAAGAATGCTATTAAATAATTGCTTCATTGGTTGAATGTTGTGCAAATATTACTAAACAATTTGTAAATAATTTATGCGATACTTTGGAGCAGATACAAAAAAATTAAGATTCAATTTATTGAAGCAACGACATAATATGGACTATAGCGTACTTTCACGGTATTTGACTATCACGTGTTCTTAGCAGAGCGAAAGTATCTGTTCGCCAAACAAGCTCCTTAGTAGAATCACTTTTTCAGTTTTCTCAGCGCTCTCAACCCTTTGTCCTGAAGTTACTCACATGTACAGCATGTACATGTGCAAGCTATGGCTGCTCTGGACTCTGGAACCGCTCTTTCCGCCTTTAGAGCATGTAACGTTGGTGATGTTCTTATCTTTAACTCGAATGCACACATCTCTCCCGCCACCGTCTCTTTCCTTACTAACCATCATCGCGACTACACGTACAGGGGGCATTCCACAAGTGATGGGTCATCATCTGCCATAAGAAAAAGGAAAAGTAGCTTTATCTATCGGCGATCTGTAGGGATGTAGAGACGAGTGCAGATCCGTGAAGATAACAAGACTTGGTTGTTATGCTTTATGCAAAAGAATTATGTTTTGGGATGCAAAGTGCGAACCGTTTATTTTTTTTATTGCTTGTCTTAATTAAAAAGCTTTAAAAACTCAATTTATCGCATTATTAATGTGCGTACGATAGCAGTCTATTCATTAGCAAACATTAAATGCGTATCCGCGACATTCATTGTACGTGCGCTCTTTTAACATTCAAATTAATTTGTTTTAAATGAAGTTTTCAATGTTATGTACGAGGGAAATACAAAAATTATTACTTAGTTTAGGAAAATATTCATACGTCTATATACATACATGTATGTATAAAATGAATTCAATTAATTCATGTTAACTTTTCTTTTTTCGCCCTATAGTTCGTTATGAAAAATGCAAGTGAGTGAGTGAGTTGATGAAAAAATATTTTTCTACTGGAATGGGATTATTTTGTTATCACGAAAACGAAACGAAACTCTTGACTGACGAAGTTCCTGATAGACGAGAGAGCCTATTGTTCGTGCACCCTCTAAAATGTATTTCTCGCGCAAAGCGAAGAAGACGCGTCTCAAAAACTTTTCCGAAATAATTGTAAAATTTATTTGGTCTACAATTTGGTAAACAATGTATATACATACCGTTGTTCAGTGGGTTATATCGATTTCCAATTACTTCTCTGTCCGTTGTGCTTAGTTGATTCTACGCATTTTGTTGGCCAAGTTGCCTGAAGTCCGACAACAGCCCTATTCACTTAAATATCTCATCTATTTATGTTCGTGTTTGTGTTTGCCTTTCATCGTTTCCGTGACTTGATATTATTTCCTATTCTGAAACGAAGGTGCATCTAACAAGAAACAAAAAAATTATTAAAATTTTATTTTAAAGTGACAATTGGTAATCTCCTCTCTCTCTCTCTCTCTCTCTTTCTCTAACGTGTTAGGCATCTCTCACCCGCCAGTATATAAAGACAAAAAAGTTTGTCTATTGGCTTAACTTTAACTATTTTTTACAAAATTATATCAAAATATTGCAGTTATGTTCTCTTCTAATTGCTGTTCACTTTTTCTTTGATATTTTCTTTTGATTTTTTAAAACTTTATGCCCTTTATGCGGCTGCACCGTACTCGGCGACCTGCTGAAAAGTTGATCATAAGTATGTCGCGTTTTTTTTATAGTCCCCACTTATATGCTTAAGCGTTACAATACGAAAACGCAGTGCAAAATCAAACGCTCTTTAGATTATTCGTCCGTCCATCCTTGTGTTTCTTGTCATTAAGTTTTTCTATCTACCAACAAAAATGGAATCGGTAACCAAGTTTTGGCGTTGCTGTAGTGTAAATTTATTCATCATTGTCAGAAAACAAAGCATGTTGAACACATCAGCCCGTGAGTTTTCGTGGACCTGCATTCGAATTTTGATCAGAAATGATCGTACAGTTCTCGTACGTTATAAAATAAATTGATGCGGTCTTCAAATCATCGAACACATTTTATTAAATATATTTTTACAAACACACATATAAAAATTTATTTCATTTGCTCTCTTGAATTATTTTGTTTGTTTGTCGGTTTGCTTGTTTGTCTCGCTTTTAGTATAATTTCAAAAATTTAACTATGAACTTTGTACCTAGGAACAAATAAGTAAATAAATTATTGTTCGATTTAAATCGAACCTTGAATACCCCAGGAACGAGAAAGTAAAAAAAACAAATTCGTTTATATATTTTTGTTAAACATGCGATTGTTGTCCGTAAGGAAGTTGCGAGGAAATTTATACAAAGTAAATATCTGATTAATCGGATCGTATTCGGTAGCGGCATGTCTTACAGTTACGAAATTTTGCAAAAAAAAAAAAAATGTTTTTTTTAAATTTTGACTATTTGTCTGCTTTAAATGTCACTTCATTATATACGGAGCAATTGCTAATTGGGGAGTCTTTATCGTCTAATAGAATATAAGTTTAGCCTGCTATATCCTAATTGATCCGGATGAATAGCCAATAAGAATGGCGGGTTCAAATCCCAATGCGGTGGAATTTACTTGGCTTGTAGCTATAGGCAGCGCTCAGTCGGTGAAGGCATAACACTTACCGATTGCGCACACGACCCACTTGGCTGCGTCCGCCTCACTATCTCTTTTTTTTTCCTTCCTTCCGTCCTTCCTTTGTTCCGACCTTCACCGTAGGTTCCACCCATAGGTGAATAAGGGAGAAAAAAAAATTGCTATCAAGCAATTTATGGATTGATATACGGATCCCATTACCATAAATATACATACATACATACATACATACTATATAGTAGATATGAATCTTACAAGCTCAATGACAAAATTAATATACTATGCCGGGTTTGAAGTTTTGTGAACTCGTTTATACGAAACGCATATACAATATTTACATATGCATGTGTATGTAGATAAAATGAATGTTTCTCGTTTCTCGCTGCACTACGCCATTGCTCACTTGACAATATCTTAAAACTCAGAGTAAATGCGTGGATGAGAGCGCGCTTGGGTTTGAGTTACTTCTAATTTAAGATTCGAAATTAAGAAGCAGTTGTTAGTTGACATTTGCTGAGTAATCGTTAATTTATTTATTCATTATTTGTATTATTTGGAAAAGCGAAATAGAAAATAAAGCAATAAATGCACATTTTTATGTATTTGTGAAAGCATTGAACGGTACCGTCTTAGAAAAACGTGGACCAATAATGACGTATTGAATGGAGAACAACAGGCAACAGTATTTTACACGATAACAGCTAACTCTTGCCGCTAGTCTGGAAAAATCATATTTTAATTACAAAATTTGCGTCGATTGCATGCGAAAGTTATTTCAAGTTAATCAAAATATTTGCATATATGGATATACACTCACGCGCTCAAACATGAACACACATCAAATGTTTAAGTTAGTTTAACGATTCGATTCGATTCGATCCGATCCGATCCGATCCGTCCGTCCGTTTTCTCTTTCGTTATCATGTCATAATAGTGTTCACTACAAAGTGATAAAGCCGCAGTCACTTAAAGCGATTCGTATATCATATCAATTTTTTTGTGATAGAAAAAAAGTTACGAAAATTTCTTTGTTTTTTGACATTTGCTATGAATAGAATTTTTTGTTCAGCTGATTACGATCACTTCGAAGCGTGTCTATCACATTTTCAATGCTATTGAGAATAGAACAGCAATGACTGTTTATATATATATATATATATATCTATATATTTCATACGATTTCTGATACGTATTTCAAATGGTGTGAGAAGAGAAACGAAATTGTTATACATACACACATTTGTGATTAATATAAAAATTCGAGTTGTTTGATATCCAAAAAACTCGTAATTACATTCAAGTCATTCACGAATGGTTAGCGAAAGGGTAGAACACACCTTTTCAAAATGTAAATACATATATATATATATATTTTTTCGATTCAAATTCGAAATCTGATCATTCGATGCACACAATTTAAGAAGTTTACAATTACAATTTTGCACTCAAATTATTCTTTAAGTATTCGTAGTAAACAAAACTATATTTATAGGTATGTCACTTAAGTATTTACTATTGAGAAATTTCATTTATGCGACAGCAACAGCCAGTCGGCCATCACCTATCTTACATGCATAAGCATTTCCATATAGCATGAAAAGTATTCTTATCGTCTTTTTACACCACATACAAAACTGTTTATGGTATATGTGCAATAAATCCATATACGTTTTGAAGAAAAACAATAAAATTAGAGCTCTTATCATTTGAAGGCAAAGAGTTTCAATTTTTAGCTGTCTTGATCGGGTTTCACATATCAATTTACATTAGTCGGTATTGAAGACGAACGTTTCCAATAAAACGAAGAATAAATGAATAATAGTTAAGACTGAAATAGTCATTGAATTAATTTAAAAAATTAAAATGCATTTAAAAGTTTGTAAAACTACGACAAAAGTGTCGAAACCTATATTATGCGTTCAAACCTATGATACAAAATCTGATACACATATGATCAATATGTGCAACGATTTCGAAGTGCAGCCTATTTATGTACGAAAACAGCCAAAATTTCCGACACGTGAACGTAACTTGGCAGTTAGACGTAAAAAACCGCCTTCAGTTACCTCATATTTTAATCAACGGTTGCATCGTGAGTGGTGTCGCAAGTAAGTTAAAAATTGATCAATCTTTGTACAGTGAGTCTCATTAATGTTGGGTTCTTTTTTCTTTTTTCGCTCGACAAAGAGTAAACGCTTGTTAAACTTAATCCGTTGTTCAAACATAAAAATATTATTATTTTTTTTTTTTTTTACTACCTTACTGTATTACTAGGGAATACATATGAAAATGTAAAAAAAAAAAAAAAATTAAAAACAAACAAAATATTATTCCAGTAGACAAGAAAATTAAATAACTTTAACAACTTTAAAAATATAGCTCCAATAAGATTGAATTCTTTTCATATAAGGAAGGATACGAAGAGAGTAAACGGCATATTATTAAAAATTATTAATTGAATGCGTATCCTTCTCTCACTTAACAACGTCATTTAACTGTTTGGATGCACTTTGTGTAATTTTTCTTGCGTAGGGTAAGAGAGAGATATGTTTACTGCCATGATCGCCGTAAGCCGTTGGTATAAGAACGTAATAAGATCAGAGAATCACAGGGATATCACTTTTCTAAGTTCAGTTATTCCACGAAAAGTTGGGCATTTTCCCTGGCAAATTGCGGTCTAAACTCTTCTTTTTTTTTTTTTTTTTTAAACTGACTCAGTTTTCGACATATGAGTAAGTTTTCTCTACTTGTAATGAAGTGAGGCAAGTTGCTTCACTTTTCTGTCGAACGGGTTACAATCGCAAAAATTAAGATAAGCAATTGAAATTTGACAAGTGTGTAGTTTGATTGAACAAAGAGAAGAGTCGTTCTATTCGAAGCATTTCCCAGTCTTGAGCCAAAAAAATGTCAATGTACCAAATTTCATCAAAATATAATAAAAATTGCGGCCTGCAGATTAAAGATAAACATACAAGATGGACAGACGGACCGACAAGCTTAGTCAGATTCCGAAAATGATTTTGAATCGATCGGTATAACAATAGATGGGTCTATCCCAAATCCTTCTCGGTATTGCATACATCCGCCATAACTTAACATACCCTTGTACCACCACAAGTGGTGTAGGTGCACATTAACAAAGATAATTTTATTTTTATTTTCTGAATATAAATATAAAAATATGTGTCACAAGCGTTTTGTAAATACTTTTCATATTAGATATAAACATGTATCACAAATATATTTCAATGTACAGCCAATGCGAAGGGAACAAATGACAATAACAATTCATCGTAACGAGAATATTTTCAAGAGATTCTTTTCAAATATTTGAAAACATTAACGGGCCTAGGTAATTTTTTAAGCATTGTCTAGAACCAAGTTATCACAAAGCGCGGAGCCATGACAATGCCCTTTGAGCGAATGCATGGATCCAAAAGATGATATTAAGAAAAGCGGCAGCAATCAAGCATAGATGTCCTCTTCCGACTGTGACCGAAGATGTTTGTGAAGTGCAGACATCTCTTGAATCTTTGGAAATAACGATATTTAGGGAATCAAATTGCTTTTAAGGAGAAAAGAGAAATGGCTTACCTCTGAGCAAAATAACATAGAACTAACTTCGAGACGACGGACAAACGTTTGTACGTAAAAGAAAAGGTGACTCCGCAAAAATGTTCAAATTTCGCACATAGCTCAGCCGAAGCAAGCTTGTATCAAATAAATTCTTGGCGAAGAAACTTGATTTTTTTTTTTTTTTTATGAAAAACAAAAACAACAATCGACTGAAATTAAGAATATCTGACCTTGCATTGATTGCTAAATCTCAAAACTATGAAATATTAAAAAATCCAAATTGACTAATGACTCTCAAGAAGATGATACTGAAACGACAGCAATTATCGCTGATTAAGACTTTTAAAGAAAAAAAATTTTAAAACTCAATAAGTGAATAAAAAGAAAATAAGTGTTCGTCAGAAGAATTTGAAATGCTATTTACTTGCAGTAAAAGTTTTGCTGATAAAAAAAAAACAAAAAAAAAAAAAAAACAAATACTTTAAATAACTTTATTCAATTAAATATTCCTTTGATTAACATCGTCATGGATATTAAAGTAGAAAGTATTTAAAAACATTTTTAAAACAGAAAGCTTTAAACACATTCCGAATTTGCACATTCCTTTTTGGAAATATTGTTTATTTAATCAATAATATAATATTTTTGAACAATAAGAGAAATTCGGTTTTTATACCCATCACCGACAGATGAGGGGTATATTCATTTTGTCAAAACATTTGCAACGCCCCGAAGGAATCATCGGAGACCGCGCAAAGTATATCTATTCTTGATCAGTATCAAATTATAAATCGTTTTAAGTGCGTCCGTCTGTCCGTTTGTCCGTCTGTGTAATCGTTGCTCTCCCGGCTGCGAAAATGCAGCTATCTATTTCAAATTTGGCAGAAACCGTGGAAGTCCTTGCACGCAGGTTAATATTCCAAATGGGCTAAATCGGTCGAAGGACACGCCTGCAGTACCATGAAACTGTTTCTCAAAAGGAATAAATAATTGGTTTTGTGCTCACTATACCAGATAAGTGTACAACAAATTGAACGCATATTCTATGGACGATGTTGTAGTACCTGTACAAAGATGGGAAGAATTGATCACGCCTCCCCAATATGACAGTGTATCAAAATTTCCATTTTTTTTCAATACCTTTATAATAACCTTAAAAAAACCCCGTACACTTAGGCGTGTGCATTTTGTCTGCCTACGCAACGGTATAGCATTGGCGGTGAACATTCTCCCGTTAGCGAAGATGAAGACATCGCCTTCAAAATTGCACCAGTATTTGGAAGAAGTTTTAAACTTTTCCAAAGATACGCCTACAATGCCTATGCGGCAAGAACTTTCATTTTGAATATAGAACAAATCGGCAGTGCCCACTTCATATTATAGAGCATTAAAAATTTAGTTCATTTATTTATTTTCTCTCTTTTAGGTTACACGGTGTTGGGTATAAAAGATTCGGTCACCACCGAATATAATTGTGTTAGTTTTTTCTTTCCTTATTCTTCGGCAAGAGCGCGAAGGCTGCTTTTTGCTTTACTCCAGATTCATTCTCCATATAACTCCTTTTCTCAGCGAGTACCTTGTTAAAAGAATAGATAGATAATCAAGTACTTGAAGATCCTCAAACCAATTTTTTTGAACCGCAAACATTAAAATTAATCAATTTGATGATTCTTAGCAGTTCCTGCGCTACAAACTGTGTCTTCTAGTGTTAGTAAATGTCTTATAAGCTGAGCCTTGTCATTTCTTACTGTCGATTAAAAGAACATTAACTCGTTCACTACACCAACCGCCATACATATGTGTGTGACAGAAGTCTTTGTTCAATTTACTTAAGCATGTGTAAGAAGGTTCTTTATCGAGTAAATTTGTTAAGTTCTAAAATGATAGAATGTATGAAGACTGGGTCTCGTTTATTGCTGTCAATATTTTATTTTATATTTTCACTTCTCTGCGATGGATGTTTTCCCCAGGATTACTTGCTAGCGAACAGGTTCATATATACTGCGTCCAATAATTCGCAAAACTAAGTACGAAAAAGCCTAATTATTTTTGTGAAATTCGACTTTGTTCATGAACATAATCTCCTTCAAGAGTGATGATGGTGAAGAGTCGGTCGAACACTTCTTTGATATCGTAATGCATGTCAGTTTAACTTAACAAGCAATTGGTGAGTATAGAAAGACTCCGCCTAAGCTAAATACAATTAGCAAAATAAATGACGTTGTATATAAATATATTTATATATAAACCACAGACAACAGCTCGCTTTAATAGTAATAAAAAAAAAAAATGTAATTATGCCGTGTGTTTAATGCGAGATGTATTATAAATATATTCCCAAAAATTTATTGACATTAATTTCTAATGATTGATTAAATATTTTCTGGCAGTGTACCAACAAATAAACTAAAGAATATATTTGGAGCATATTATTCCGTGCAATGGATGCCAAAAACTAGTAGAGACGCAGCAGTCATTAATCAATTGCACGACTCTCTCGTTCTCATTATTATTGGTGCAGACACTTTTTGTTTGCTTCTGCCAAGATGAGTTTGGAGCACATAACATATCGCTCGAACTGATTGTTCGTAGCATCGCATATAGATGTCGTCACTATTCACGATTCCACACGATTTGCAGAGTTACTTAGATACAACTTTCACAAGAAATGTGTAAAAATTTCACGATATTGCGACCAATAGCTTACATGTTACAATTGCCTTAGGGACAATACAATGGTTATTTGATCGCTTTGGAAGAGTTTCGCCGCTTAAATGTCGCATTATTGTGTTATTTCTTTTATAAGCGATGGTATAAGCACCTGTCCTAGTTCATTCTTGTATAAGGTATAGGTAGCCCGTGCGAACATTAAATTTTGCATTAATCTTAGGAATGAACTGAACGTGGTAGTTATTGAAAGGAAGGAGAACTAGAAATTAAATATCACACCACAAACCAGTTCAAAAGACTTTCTAAACATGACGACATATTTCGTTTACTTTGATGAGATATGGCATTTGGACCGACCCTCAGCACGATTTTATCCGATTCATTAAAAGCTAGAGTTTTTTTTTTGATATTGTGAACGTGTTTAGCGGCCAATTTTTCAAACCTCTACCGAAAACATTTGCGCCCCGCTGGGCTTATACGCTACAATTTTTCAGTTCTGAATGTTCGAACTGCAAATGGTAAACAGTCGAACAGTACCCTGCGCCGCTAAGGAAAGTAATATGTATGCGCATATTTTGAACGTTTCGTAACGCCGTCTCCCGTATTCTGCTTTTGAAAAGAGTATTATCTTTAGGGTTTACGACACAGGATGCGTGCAAGTAATTGAATTTTTCTGAGTTAAGACAAAGGTAAATTTTTCCCGTTCAACTTATAGTAAAGTTCGATAAGACACGATAACTGAATAGCAAGACAACACGACCCTGTTGAAAGGAAGCATTAATGCCGATGCTAAAACCAAATATTGCATTACGAACTGTTTCAATAAGGAGTACGTTACCATTGAGAAACCGTGTAGTTAATT